TGAATTAACTTGGAACTGGAGTTGAATCATGTCCCACATGAAGCTGTTTCTATCAGAGCTCTGACGACACCGACATCACTGACGTCACATGAACAGGAACCAACTTTTAACTGTCACTTTACAAAAACTGGTACCGTTTCAAATTTCAAAAGTTGAATTCCTCTCCATCAGCTGGAAACAGAACCAACCTGTGAAACACACACACACACCTGAAGAGAAACGTCCTGTCAGCTGGACAACAGTGGTTCTTAAACCTTTCTGGTCAGTGACCATTTTGAAGAACTTTATACTGGATCATAAAATATAAACCACCAGTGGGCAGTCGGACACAGTGACATCGGTTCTAGAACTGACGTCGGTCAAAAATGATGTTCTGACGACGTCTGACGATCCAGACACTGATGCTCCACAGCTGCAGTACTCAGTACGTACAGAGTACTCAGTACGTACACTGAGTACTCAGTACGTACAGAGTACACTGTACGTACTGAGTACTCTGTACGTACTGTTCCTGTAGGTACTGTTCCAGTAACAGGTAGAAGGTAGTACTCTGTACGTACTGAGTACTACCTTCTACCTGTTACTGGAACTCTACAGTGTTGTCATTGTTCTTCTTCTTCACACACACACACACACACACACACACATGTTTACACGAGACAAACACCTGATCATTTCTATTTGAAACATCAAATGTGTCCGTTTTTATACCTCATCATAACATTTGTAATTACAGTCACTGTTAGTGAACATTAGCGCCCCCTGACTGCTGCTTATACAGTGGAGTCAGTGTAAATAAATCCTCAACCAAACCCTGAGGGCGATGCCGGCAGCATCCAGATGTCAAAAAAGTAAAAATAGACGGAGTTACAGTCTGTCAAATCAAAATGATAGGAATCCTTGCAAATTGCTTCATGCAGCGCCGCTCTCTGCAGCGCCGCTCTCTGCGGCGCCCCTCTCTGCAGCGCCGCTCTCTGCAGCGCCCCTCTCTGCAGCGCCGCTC